GGGCTGACTTTCACTCTTTCTTATGCCCTGCTCCTCTGAACTCACTTAACTAAAGTTAGATATTCACAAAGATTGTTTCATGTGATTTTGACCTTACATAATATCACATGGAAGTTGATTGTTAGCACTGATTCAATTGTATAAATCCAGAGCCTTGGCCTTAGATCTTATTACTTTGATTATAAGTTTTGTGCAATAAAATACCCTTAATTCATGTGAGGAATTTGTGTTCAAAATCCCTGATTCTCTCTTCACCTAAATATGTGGAAATGGATGTTAAAGATTTCCTCCTTGTGATTTAAGCATTAGATAAAGCATAAACATAAGCAGTTAATCTCTGAGGAAACTTCTAAACATAGAATTGGATATATAAAAATTGCTTAAAAAATTCTGCCCAACTCTAACTTTTTACTTTGGGAAGGCCTGTTTTTAAATCATCACTCCTTTATATTTGGTTCGACAGGGGACGACTGATGTCTAATGTTTTGGGTGAATGGCTTTTTTAAAAGTAAGCACAAGTTTATTTTGGCACCTTCTGCACCAGTGTATGCACTCGCCCCAGACTTTAACCTTCATCTCAAAGATCTGGGATTCAGTCACTCGTTGATTGTAAGTTCCTGAGGGCAGCAACTGGAATTGTATTTATTGTCACAGCACCTGACCAAAGTGCTCAATAAATGTTTGAGTTGAATTAAACAATTTCTTTATATTTAGATATTTTCAAGTTATGTCCTAATTAGTGGAAACTAAGTAATAAAGAATCTACCAAAGCTCTTTATGAAGGTACAGCTGGTGTTTGCACTAGTTAATTTTGTTTAGCGATCCCAGCTCTTGGCATGCTTATTTTTATTGCCTTTTAAATGCAAGTACAGCAGACAGATGGGAGCATGGCCGGCAGAACAGTATGTACCATATCTTCTGCCTCTAGTAGATGTAATTTGTAACTAACACTCTGAAACATTGTTATACCATGTATTTCAGGAAAAAAAATTGTGCTAAAGGATTCATTAAACTCATCAAATGGTGTTATGAAAGCAGGATTTGAACTCTGAGTAGTGTCACAAACTGTTTTTATTAACTTTTCAAAAGCTGAATCCTTTAACCTATGGTACTATAGCAGACTTGAAAAGTCATAAAAAACCACGGTTTGGAAATAAGCAAGATATCTGACATTTATCAGAAGTTATGTTTTTATTTTTAAGATGCATAAGGAAATTAAATTAATTGCAGCATTTAGCAAAGGTTTGAGTCATATTAAGGTGGGGGGAACTTGTTTAGGGAAATATTTCCTATGTAGAGTTTTGGACTTACTGCTATGTGTGTCCTACAGTATGAAGTCAGCTCTATACATATTAGAGCAACCAGTTGTTTTGCATTTTTAGGTTTTGTATGTTAGCTCCTTATCTGGAATTGCACTTAGCACATAGCTAGAACTCAATAAATGTCAGCTCTCTCACTAATCTCCCCCTGTGAGAATGTCAGGTCCAGGAGAAGTTTTGTGCCTTGCACAGTGGCCAGTGCCTACCTGATGGGTGCTCAGGGAGGACCTGGGGAGAAGGCAGTGAAAACACAGTCCCTGACCTGTTGTTAAAAACTCAGAGCTGACTGCAGTTGAGAATCAAACCCTGAACGAGACAAAGTAACGAAGTTTTATGTCTAGTCCAATGTTGTTTGTAAATAGTCTGAAAAGAAGGATTTAAAGGAGAGGAACTCATTCTGGTATATTCAAAGTCTGGCACTGAAGATGAAAAATGTTGCCAGACTTCCAGATTTTTTTTCATTAGACTGTGGAGTAATTTTGCATGTTTGCAACTGAAGAGTCATGTTGATATCATCTTCCAGATGTTCATTCTCTGCTTTGTATATAAATTTAAAAAAAATAGTTGTCTGCCTCGTGGGTGGGGGAGTGAGAGAGACTTCAACTGATGAGAAAAACACCACATGTTGATTTTTAACCCAAAGTGGAAATAAATTCTGTGAGCCATAAGGTGCTCAGTCTGGAACCAAATGCCTAACTTGCCTTACAGTGGGAGTTGAAGAGGAGGGTTCTTTGAGGGGAGGGAGGAAAATAGGAGGAAAGTCTAAGATCCATGAGAGCAGGGACTGAACTTTTAATTCCCACCAGCACCGGGTGCAGGGCCTGGCCGATAACAGGCTGGTAAGTATTTCCTGAGTCAGTGCATGAACTGGGGCTGCCATTCGAGAGAATGAGGTGAAGGCTCATAGTCATCAAGGTGTTTTAAATCACATACATGACTGTTGTGATGTCTTTAGAAACACCATACCTGTGTTCAAGAAAATAACTAAATTCAACCCAGAAAAGGGCTGGGAACCTCGGAGACTCCTTTTCAAGGCAACACCAGAAACGCTGCCATGA